TCGAATAGATCTGATTTCTTCTTACTGGCAGATCAATTTATGGAAAAAATATTTATAGAATTTATAAAATATTGAATAAATTTGTAACAAATAAGCATTATAATATAATTAATAAAGAATATTTCAATAATATAATTGTCAGAGATCATAATTGCAACACAATTGTGACAATTTTTTCCTTAGGGAACGATTTAAAACTGATTTCTCGCTGCGATATCAGAAAGTTAGGCAAAATTGTGTTAAGTGGTTTTAATTACTTAGAAAACTTGGACAGCTCCCGGAAGTTTCCACGTCGCTCAACAGCAGAATGGATGCGCCTGAAAATCCAGCCGCTTATTCCACTTCTTTCTTCTGATAGAGGGATTCACCATATCTACATTCCTATCGTCGAATTAATTAATTATCCTTTCGTTTAATCGATCTAAATGGTTTTTGCAATTAAAGAAGCTTTATCAAGATCTTAAATCTTCAGCGTATAATTTAATTCACATTGCTTTTTTTAAATTTTCAGGATTTTCTCTAATAGGAATGGATTACATTTTTTAATAATAATTTTAACAGGGAAGAAAAAACGGGGAAACATAATGGATTTGTGAATTGTAATTCTCAAAAAAATTGAAAAATAAAATTTTAAATTATATTTATTTTCCAATATTCATTACAGCTATTTTTATTTATAATTATTTATATAAAAAATTTTATAATAAACTTTTTTAGAATTTGTTTATTTTTAATATAGCTATTTACAATAAATGTTGTAACAAATATTGCAAAAACTATGGAAAATTAATTGTATGAAATGTATTAAATATATTATTAAATATATAAAATATCATTAAAAAGTTATATATATATATATAAAATCATGTATTAAATATATAAAATATTTAATATATATAGTTTTTAATATATATATTTTTAATTTTCATTAAATTACCTTATCAATTCTTCTTTATTGTATATGTTCCTAATATATTATACTTAATGTATTTTTATAATTATAATTATGAAAATGAGTTATTATTCGATAAAAGACCAGACTTTATAGATAATATGAAATAGGAAGTTAATTTTATTAAAATACAAAAAAATATTGAAATGAATTTTTCGAAATTTCTGGCATATCTCCATCTTACTTGAAGTAAGCCACTATAAATATTTTAATTGGCATTAACAAAATCTGATCTATTAGCCTGTAATCTTTTTCTAAAGAATATGAAATAAAATTACAAGATAAAAAAACACATAAAAAAAAATTTTATCAAAATGACTATATAATGTTTTTAATTAAAAAATAGTAGTCTTCTTATATTAACTACCAAAGATAACAATATAATCCTCACAAGTACTTAAGTCAAAAGTTTATTTCATCAACTAAAAAAAAGTAGATAGACTTAAAATTCCTAGACCTAAAAGATGAGTTATGAGTTATATAGTTACAGATCATCGTTATAAGATATCACAATAAATTATTATTATATAAAATAATAATATTCTTCATTTAAAATAATAATATTCATGGGATCTAATTATATTCAGAATTTTTGTAAAAAAAAGTTGTAAAAAATTTAATATTATAATTCAACATTTCAGCAATAAGGCAATCAAGATAGTAATTTCATGGCTAATCAGCAATAAAATTTATTAATTAAATATAAAAATTAACACACGATACTATTCATCAAAAAAACATCTTATGATTGATTAGGAATATAAAGAAGATCTATACATGAAATGACATTTGAAATGATTTCTATTAATTCAAAATTTCTCTAAAGCAACAAAGGGAATCTTAGAAACTTCATTGAAATATGTTATACTTTCATAATATCATGCTTATAGCCTGTCCTTGTAAGAGATCAATGTTTCTTCGATAATGCACTGCCATAAATTCATGGTACATTACAAAATATCCATCTCTGATTGTACATGTATTCATAATAGTTCAGATTTTTGCCGCAAATACATCATGCGAAATCATAGTAGCATCATAGTCATTGCAAGAAAAGACAATTCGTTGATTGTAAGCGCTGAAAAAATAGGATTAAAATAAGAATCTCCAGCTATGATTGATTACAATCAATAGGAAAAAGTTTAAGAAGAAAAGATCAAAAGGAGTCAAAATGAAAGTCCAAATATCAATAACACTCTAGAATCAAAATATTCTTCATTCGTTGATTATCTACTCTAGAAATAGACTCATTCATATGTAGCTAAAACTTGAACGAGACTTTACACCAATATCAATAAATTATATAGTTTTGATATTATAGAAGAAGCTATTTAAAATTCTAATTATTTTATAGAGGCGATATAGGTTATACCAAGCAGCTGGCTTATATTATTACTATATTATTAATAGTTTCCCACAATTCTTTTTCAAGGCTTATATGTTAACATTGAGCATAACATTTAATTGAATCTAAAAAAGAAAGCCACGTACAATATTGCACTGTAGATGAAGTCTCTTAAAATTGTTTCAAGTGCAGATTCTTGCAGAATGTTTAATATATCTTCGTCTCCTAAAGCATTCTATTACAAAATCAGTGATTTTGAAGAAAAGCTCGATTTCACAAGACTGATTTAAAGAAGTCATATTCATGAGATAGCTAAACGTCCAATTACAATTGAACATATGCATTATCACTCTAAGTTCAAGACGTTGACAATATTTAAGAATCACTACTATTATTTCTCATTAAACTCTCAAGTTGCAACTTTGTCAATCAATCGATTTGTTCAGAACATGAACTGCCTATCAAGTCTAAGTCTTTCGAAAGAAATTAGATGACTTAGAAGACAATTATTTATATAAAACTATGTCAATCAATCGATTTGTTCAGAACATGAACTGCCTATCAAGTCTAAGTCTATTTCCGAAAGAAATCAGATGACTTAAAAGGCAATTACTTACACAAAATACTTGTCTCATCTAACAATCGCAAACTTAGTAGATTGTATAGAGGAAACTATATGAATCTGTTGAAAAACAGTCGTTTGAAAAACATCTATGCTTTAAATAAATATTGAAAATAATGCGGATACAATATGGAGATCTTTAAACCGTTCCAATATATGAGTTTTTTTATCAGTCTGAAGCAAACATTGAGAATTGGTGATTTCGACTATTCATTCTGCTTCAATGAGTGACCACACATCCATTTGACTTCTATATCTAATGATATAATATTTGCTTATATATACTCATAAATGCACCATTTTAGAGCATGTGAGAAAGCTAACAAATAATGTTAACTAAATCGACAGATTAATAATGAAATTTATTCAACTATGATAGAAAAGATATTCCTCAGATCTTAGCAAGACTTATTCGCACTGGATAACATTCCATTGCGAACAACGGTCTCCTTGGAGTCCAGACTTATAGAGTGAGAATAGAATGTCCAGATAATCTAACAGAGATAGAATACATATTCATAAGGAAAAGAGAGAAAAGAAATGTGTTTATTTAAAATGACTATGAGGTAGAATCAGTATGAATTGATAATAATATCGAAGAATTAATTTTATATTCAAATTTTATCTTTTTTAAGTTATTGTAATACTTTCATGTTTAAGTTTTAACTTTCTAGAAACTTTAGATTTTCTATTTAAGCATTAGAGATATATATAATAAAATATCATTTGTATGCTGCAACCAATAAACTAATGAACATTTGAATCCATCGTATCAGCAAAATATATTCGCAATTTATACGCAATGTGTACATATCAGATGCGATGTACCATGAATTAAAGGTTTTTATGGAATTCCACCAACAGACAAGCCTCCAACATTATTTTTCTGTTAGACCCGTATGTATCGATAGCGCACAACAGTGCGGTACTTAGTACCATGATGTTGGCGCTTCATATATTACTCTATCGGTAACTTATCGTTAAATCATTAGATCATTACTTTCAATCATTATTCTTTTGATTATTTTTTAATATATTATATAAACATTACAACATTTCATATGATTTAAGAATATAAAACAAATATATCTATAATAATAAAATTTTATCAAGCGCCAAGAGAATATATAATACTTTATCTTTTTATAATATAAAAATAGTCAAATTATTATTAAAAAATATTATTCATGATAGAATTATTGTTATAAATATAATTAGAAATAGATTCAAAAATTTATATGATTTCTTTTTTTATAAATATAGATTATCTTATTTATATATTAATAAAAGGAATGTTAATCTGATTGATTGATCTTAATCGATCAAATACATTCATAAAAATAAGCTTGCATATTGTTAAGCATTATGTTTAAGATCCAAATAAGAACATAATAGTAGATGTTTATAAGTGATGGAAAGAACTACTCTTCTTGCTTTTGATGCCATCCGATATAGCAACTTACTAGCAATATACCGTATACAATAAGGAATTTGTACTACACAACTGAAGTTAGTTAGAGAGAACCGCTTAGTAACACGCATGCTCAGTTAATCCAATTGATTTTCATTGAAATTATTACTTCATAGTTGAAAAAGAAATCTGTATTTTGAATTAAAAAAATGTTTTATTTAAAATTATTTTATATTTTTTATTCAAATTGTATATATTAAAATTTATACATTTATAAAAATTTTATTAAATAATGAACAATAACTAAATAAAGATAGCATTTAAACTATTAATGAAGAATATTATTATCATATATCCTTTTAGTTAAAAATTTTGCTTTGTTATTGTAAAAATAATAGTTTAAGATTCTTTCTTAATAACACTTTCTTTATGAAAACAATATAAAAACCTTTGTTCTAAAAATAAATTGATATGAAAGTAAAATGTTTAAATTTCCCGCAATAAGTGTATTTTCAAGGTCACTATTGCGCAATGAATCATTAAGAATGACCTGAACTGAGTTGAAAATGAAAGATTCTCATAGTATCGGTAGTCGCCATTTTGAATTTTCTAGTCTTATTGGAATAGTCTGTGTTATTGTACAGTAATTATCTTTTTTGTTTTGATGTGTTTGCATGCGTAGAAGAAAAAATTTATATAATTATTTAATAAGAGCAGTTAATAAATAACTATATATTGAAAGTAAAATGCATATAATAGAAGAAAAATGTGAACAATTTCTCATGTCATCTCCTTAACCCTCCTAGGGTTAACCTAAAATATCGCTTCTCGTTTTTCATGGATTTAAGGAATTTTGAATCATTAAATGATTAAATTACATATAAAACTTATTTTGTTGTATTAAAATTTATTATTATTATTTAATTTGAATATACCATATCGAAAAAATAGATTGTCTATAAAGAATATTACAATCTACTATTCACTGATCATACATATATATATAAATTTCTTCTGAACACATGTGAACAATAATATCCAATTCTAAAAGTAATTAAAATAAAAGAAATGGCTCGAGTCTTAGTTTATAACCGTCCTGTTGATGCAATATTTATGGACGTAAACTTGGGAGTCAAGACAAATGTAAGTACTTTGAAAGATTATTTAATAAGAACATTTATTTTAGTTAATACTGTAATTATGCTTTATAAATCTTAAAAAGAGAGAGACAATATAATGCATTTATTTGATATTTATATAGGATTTACTTTAATTACTTTAATATTATAGAATATGAATTATTTTCTTGATCGTTATGAAAGAAATTATGTAATTAGATATAAATTTGATTGTTTTTATATAAATAAAATTGATTTTATTGAATTATTGAATAATTTAAATAATTTTAGTAATTTGAAGTTCATATGAAACTGAATTTTAACATGAAAATTAAAAATAAAAATTATAAACCTTTTATTATATTGATATATGATTAAGAAATGTTAGGCTAGATGTATTAATTGTAAAATCGCTTTTCTGAATGTATTACATTTCTTTTATTTTATGTATCTATGCATCTGTTATTACATGAATTTATAATATCAATAAACATATATAAATTATCTCCTAAGTACAGTTTTTCATATTATTGATGTAATGTTTCTGTCGTAACATTTTGATTTATCCATAGTTATTAATCCTACTTATTAGTTAAATGATCAAAACTGTTTGTTTATAAGTTTATAAACTACTGACAAATCATCATCATAATAATAAAAATAATATCATATTTTTATATTCACACATTTATATCTTTCTTATAATATTTTCAAACATAATATATAAGTTATAAGTATTTGTTTTTTGAACTTTATTGTAAACTGATTATTTTTAGTATTTTTAGCATTATTTTTTATTAAAAATTTTTAAATATAAAATTTCAAAATATTTAAAATGTTATTATTTAATTATTATTTATTAGATATAAATAAATCATTATCAAGATATATTATAGAATATTAATATACATTATTAATATTGCATATTATTAATCATATTCATGATGTGATGCATGTTATAAATAAATATTTATATAAGATTTTTAATATGTTAATATGTTTCTTTATGTTTTTAAATTTGTGCATATATTTTGTCAAAAAGAATGCTTCTGTTTTTATATTATTTTATTATTATTATTTTATATTTTATATTATATTTAATACATATTTCTACATATATAGGCATAAGGCATATTTGGATTTGTTATATTTATTTGTATGACTTGATGAAGTAATGAACACAAGGAATTTTGTGCCAGTGTTCGTATAACATTGAGACGCGTAGAAGCGGTCCGTGAGCCCGCTACGTTCCCCTTCCACTTACTATTGGATACTATCTTTAAACGTTTTCTTATCTTGCTTTAGCTTACCAAATAGAAATTATGTTATTCTATTATATTACTACAATGTTTTTCACTAAATTAAATAAATTTATTTAATTTTATAAATTATTTATTTTAAATAATTTATAATGATTTTTGTAAATATTTTATTATATCATATATTATATATATTTTTAAGAATATCATAATATTTATTAACGATATCATAATATTTTTAAAATTCTGTATTATATATTATTTTATTAAATTTTTCATAAATTTTTTTTATTTTTTTTAATAAATTTATAATATATATTAAGAATCTACTAATTTTTATAATTTTTAAATCATAAATTTAAAAATCTAATTTTGAGTTTAAAAATTAAAATGATTATTTGATATTAATTTATGTTAAAATACTGTTTTAAAAGTATTTTTTGTTTCCTAATTTTTTTTTTTAGATGGCGATGAAATCACTTTGAATAACCTAAAAACATCGAACATGTGTTTTGATGAATTCTTAGAATTTTTATTTTTTAAGAACAATTCTCATTGTTCTTAAATTTACCAGAATTTTTTATATGCTTATTATGCATTTCAATTTGCCTATATTTTCAAACATGAATAAAATAGTATGTTGGTATGTATCATTTCTAAATTCATGATCATCAATCTGGATTTGATATTCTGACACATATCGATAATATGAGAAGTTAAATATAATGACAAGAATGATTTTAAACTATAAGAATGAATGTTATACAAAATAGTTATAGATAATATTTCTAAATTTAAAATAAGTATACCTGTTACCATAATATGAAGTGTTTCCTAACTGATAGTACAACGATTTGAGTATATATATATATTGCTGTAAATTAATTTTTATCATTGTACTAATCATATCGATAAAAATAAAGATATCTTATTTATATGTTACATGAAAGTAGAAAATAAATCAAAAGTTATTAAATTACATTATATAGGATTTTCATATATTTGTGAATTTGTGATGTGTGGATTGTGAATTGTAAAAGATCAATTTTAGAGATAAACACAAAAGTTGATATACAAAAATATCAGTCGATTTATTTATTAAGTTATAAGCAAATGAAATTTGAAGACGAAGCGTGACAGGAACAGACTATGACAACAGTAACAAAAAGCAGATAAAACAATTTCTTTCTATTTCGCTTCGTCTTCAATTGTTTATAACTTAATAAATAAACATTAATTGATGTTTTTGTATACCAAATTTTGTATTTGTTTTGACTTCTAGAACTTCTAGAACTTCTAGAATAACAAATATCATATGTATAAAAATATCGAACTATATTAATATCTTATAAAGTCACCAAAGACGATGTAAACATGAATCATATTCAACAAAATCAACAATTCATATGTTACGCTTTTTGTCATTTAATTATTTATTTAATAGACGAAGAAATGATAATTCATTTTTTACAGTCATTTGACTACAATATTAATGTATTTATTTAACAAAAAAGAAAGATATGAGTTAAAAGAAAGCATTAGAAAAAATGAAATCAAGTATATTATTATTGCTATCGAAAATTAGTACTACTACGAAAATAATAATAATTTATTAAAAATTATTAAATCAATTTAATTATTATTTTTACAATTTAAAAAAAAAAGAATTGTGTTCAAGTTGATTTCAAATAAATGGTGACTGTGTAGATTGTAGATTGTTATTGAATATCAAAAATAAAAAAAAGTTATCAAAGTATAGAACTTGTATTGGCAGAAATTACATCTTCCAGCAAAATAACATTTCAATACAAACTGCAAGATTCATTCAATAATATTTTATTTCTGAAAAAATCAAAGAAGCCAATCGAACCTCAATATAATTGAAGATATTTGAGTTGAATTAAAAAAATCTGAATACGAATAAGAAACGATTAATCATACAAAAAACTTAATAAAACAAAAAAGTATAAAAAATTATATAAGCTAATACCAAAATAGTCAATAAATATATTTCACAGATATGATCTTATGTAATATTAATATTATCATCAGATGATAATAATCTTTGATTAAAATTGGATTTTTTCTCTTTTTTTTTTCCTGTTATGTCATATAAACTTAAAATTTGATGTATTCCTACTTTTAAAACATTTCATAAAATTACTAAAATGTGTTTTTTTTTTAAATATATGAAATCTATATATTTAATACTGCACTCTATCATAAACTAATTAATGATTATAATGCAATCTTATAATAGACATTTATTCATTCTTTATTATGTTATGAAATAGGTATATGACAAAAGACTCATTATAGATGTGGCATTATAGATGTTAATATTCTAAACTAAGGATTAATTTTAACTAATTAAAAACGACAAATCAAAATGATATGTGAATTCATGAAATCTTCTTCTTCTGTTTCTCATATTAAAATAAGTAACTAAACAAAATGCTATTAAAATAGATTGCTAACAAATGCAGTGATATTTATTAAAAACGTGGATTCATGTTCCATTATTGAAGAGATATAAATTATATTAGTGTTTATATATGTGTTTATATTATATATAATTATATATAATTATATATGTGTTTTCATTATGATAAAAAAATAGATAGATAAAAAAGATAGAATTATCGAAATTAAGTAAGATAAAATGATAATATCCAATAAAATGAATTTAAATATAGATTTCATATAGATTGAATATAAATTTAATCATAAAAACCAAGTGATAGCCAAGTTTATTATGATAAGTTATTGTTCATCAAAAAAATCGGTATTATGAATTGTGCATTTGTGTACATAGTATAGATATAAATATAATACATCCGGTTTGAACTGATGAAATGTAAATGATGTGAAAAAACAGACAAAAATTGTTTAATATAAAGAGATATGTTATGCAGTATTAATAACTTTCCTATTGATGTATAAAAATGTATAGAATCAAATTAATTTTTTAAACAGATAACATAATTTTTATTGCAATAATTGATGTAATTTATTTTCTACAAAAAAAATTAAATTATCAAAAAATCTTTAGATTAGGAGATATTGTAATTTGGTGTTGTAAAATTTATCATATGGAAAATAAGGAATACGCGAAATTTTAATTTCAAATTAAAATATTAAATTAAAAAGATTTTTGTTTGTTGTAGGAAATAACGAAGTATATCGATTAATGCGATAAAAATTATATAATTTTATTTAAAAGATTAAATTTGACCTTCATATGACCTCTACGTGTCAATTTCTAAAAAAAACTATTAATAGTGCATAATATAATTTTTCTATATCAAACAATTTTTATCTGAAACATTTTTTCATATCAATCATATTTTTTTATTATATTTTAGTGATTCAGAATAAATTGTATATATGTACATCAAATTTTATAAAAAAATTTATATCAAGTTGTATATATATCATATATATATATAAATATGTATATGTCTGGAAAAATATGCTTACAAAGTACAGTTTACTGCGAATGTAAAAAGTCTGCGGCAAATGATATAAATTTCTCTGTTACTTTCTCAACATGTGTTGTTTAGTATATGAAAGAATGTGAAAGTTTGCAGGCAAGCAGAGCTTCTTGTTTATCCCCTTTATTGTTACATACATATTTTTAAGTTCACATAAAATAGCATTATTTGAAGAAGAACAATGCAAGATTAGAAATCCCGATTAACTTAATGTATTGTGCAGAGTTGGAAAAATGATGAACTGATTAACTAATAACAAGAGTGGTTATTCATGTATTCGTATGTATTCATTAATTTAATTAATTTATAAGTCTACTTATAAATTTATAACACAATAATAATAATAAAGAAAGAAAAGAAGGAAAGATGTTGATATAAATATAAATAAAATTGAATAAATTGGAAATTTTAAATGTTCTTTTTTTAAATCTATATTAAAAATAACCTATATTATATCTTTTATATTAAGATTTTATATTAAGATATTATATATTGAATATTATAAGCCTAATAATTTGCAGTATGATAATTGAATATTTGAAAATAAAAAGAAAAATATAATTTTTTGTGACAAATTTTCTTCTTAACTCTGTAATAATTCAGTTTAAGATTAATTCACTTTTCATCTTTACACAGCAAATCAACATATCTTTTTTCATTAATGTATATATTTTTACGTTAAATATAAAATAAATTAAAAGCAATAAATTTTCATTTAAAATTTCTGATGAATGTATCAATTAATTACTTAGAATAAAATATAAATAGAAATTAAAATATAAAACAATTCTTCGATGATTGAAATTATAATGACTAAAGTTGCAATAATATCTTATATTTTGTATCTATTTTTCTCATTGTATATATATTACAAAAAATAATATCTTTTAAATCCATAAGAAAATAACTTCTTGACAAGCAACGACAAACTCATCATTATATATAATGATTGCCAATTATCTTAATGCATTTATATAAATAATTGTTAAGTTATACTCACATGTACATATTATTAAAAAAGCACATATATAGGATTTACTTAACTAATTGCCAATTATATCATAAAGTTAAAAATGTTACTAAAAATATCCTTTAAAACATATTTGAAGATTAATAAAATTGATAGAAACCGAGATTGATTGAATTTCTATCGTTTATATTATTCATTGACTGAATAATTAATTGGGAATATTATATTTCTTTAGAAGCAAGAAGTCTTTGAAAAATTGATTTTTTAAAATAATCAGTCTATATTATTCAAAAGGTGAATTTTCAACGTCGATCAATTCGATTTGTAAGAAAAAAATCACTCTATGTTTTTGACATATTTTCTGAATTAATAGATACGAATTCCTTATGTATTATCAGTTTGGAAACACTCTATAAGCATCATCTTTTATTTTACGATAAAATGCTTTATTTGTCTCTCCTTTTTCTATCTTTTTTATGTATTTATTTCTAAATAATTAACTTTTTTTTCTCTAATATATTTATTTAATACAATAGAATACTATAAATCGCACTAACTTACTAAATTTTATATTTAATCATAAATAATATATATTGGTTTTCTATCTATCATTTGTTAACACGTCATTTTTGTTAAAAATTATTATTTTTAATTTAATGTAAATTTTACTTTTAACAAAAATGCAAGCATGATCAATATTTTTTCAATAAAATTTGAATGGTTCGTAAATGCTAATATTCCAAAATGCGATTTCTTTATCTCATCTGTAGTAGTCATATTTATAAGTGCGTAAACAGCGTCCAATGTGTATTAAAATTGCTCTTTAGGAGTAATGTTACATTAGGTTTGTATATTTTTTTTTCAGCTTTCTGAACATGGAATAATAATAATAAAAGAAGAGCCGATCGAGAATGACAGTCATGACGATTTATGGCTGAACGAAATTAATGCCGAGAATGAAAACGAAACATCAAAATCTGAAGATTATGAAAGCGAAGAAAGCATAACTGAAGATAGTAAAATCGAAGATAACAAAACTGCGAATGATAACATTGAAGATGAAGTTTCGAATGCTAATTATGAATATAAAAAATTTGTGCCACCTCAAGAATTCAATCCCTTAAAAAATAATACATCGAACGCTCGATTTATAACTTGCAATATTTGTTTCGTGACATTTAACAAGCAAAGTTATACTCGCCATGTGCGTAGATACTGTAACGGTGACTATAAATGTCAAAAATGCAAGGCCGTTTTCAATACTTATCATTCGATCAAACGTCATTTGAGGATAAAGGGTTGTAAAAAAAAAATTACAAATTACAGATTTCTTTGTAATTTTTGTCGTCGAGGGTTTTGGAGAAAGGCCTATATCCAATGCCATTTACTTCACGCGCATAGAAATGAAATAAATAATATCGATAAAACTCAAATTGGAGAAATTTTCAAATCGTCAGAAAGATCAACAAATGATCTTGAAGATGTACTGATCGTGGAAAAGATAAACAGTTCAAATAACGTGTTTCCAAAACGGTTAAACAATTTGACAGATACGTTTAAAAAAGAGTTGAACAGTACACCTTCTCCCAAATTGAACGGTTTAAATTGTACGCATTTGAAAAGTCAATGCGATACAGTTTCGAAAATGCCGAGAAGTTTAAGTAATTCGAGCCAGTTAAATTATTCATGCGATACACCCTCTAAAAAGATGAAGCAGACCACTCTTACAGATTTTATTTCGTTTTATAAAGGAAAATCGAACAACGATGACGTCATCATAGAGAAAGTCATTGGTATAAACAATAATTCTGTTATTGATGACACGAGTGAATCACATGAGAAATTTGATGATAACTCCTCGTTGAGGAATACAGAAAACGTTCAAGCGCACAAGCGTACCCGATCTCGTGCGCTTGACAAGAATAAACCATTTGTTCAGATTCATGTGAATCCCCGTACTATGATGCTATTATTGAACAATGAGATAAAAAGTGATCTTGAGAGTCTGGAAACTTCGTACAATGTACCCTACAATCTTAGGCCATCTGGAGAAAATTCCTATGCATTACGTAAATTTCGCGATTCAATGAAGCATGACACTGCTTCTAACAAAGCGAAACGTCCCATTAAAAGAAAATATCCCTGCAATGTATCTACGCGAAGAATGTCTTTACGAAATAAAAGTTTCAAATCTGAAATCGTAATTAAAGAGTGCAAGATCTATCTGGAGAAATGTGATGAGATGTTGAAACGGGGTAAGATTAAATCGGATAAAGTCGAAAATGTTTCTCAATCTATAGACTTGAAAGAAGAGAGAGAAATAAAAACGGAAAAGATTGAGAATTCTATTAAAACTGAATCGGCAAGTGATCTATCTTTGAAGCTTACGTCAGAGATATTCAAAGCCGGAGCGAATAATTTATCGATTGCTAAAAAAGAGTCAAATGTGTCAAGAAGTAAGATATCCCAAAGATCGTTCCAATGCCATGTTTGCAAAAAATTATTCTCGTTAAAAGAGAATTTGTACGAGCATATGAAATTGTTTCACTCGATTTACATGTCGAGTATATGTAACGCACGCTATACATCCATTAATAAATTATTAAAACATTATTTGCGTCAACATATCATGTTTAAGCGAAAAGAATGTTGCGTGTGTTACGAGAAATTCGACACACCGGTATCGTTGAAACGACACATGATTGTGCACTGTTTGAAAACCATACGATCCAAGAAAGACACTCTACCGGTTGACGTCGAGATAAACTGCAGTTCATCGAAGAAAGAAAATAAGTGCAAAGGTTGTCACAAACGATTTTGGCTCAATTCGTGTTTGAAAGAACACGAGAAGGTGTGTCGTCGAATGAAAGACCTGATCTGTAAACGACGTAGGCTTCAAGCAAAACGCTCTTTTTCGTTTCGAAAGGAATCGATTGGCTCGAAATTTAATGCGATACAAGCAATTTCTTCGAAACAAGTATCATCAGAGCAGAAAATGAAGCCGATAAATTCGATCACTAAGACTTATAGTCACTCACCTCATGTTCTGCCACCTGTCTCACCCTCCTACTCTGCCACAGCAGCAAGCAAAAAGAAATTAGTTAACGGTGTCGCTTGGGTGAAGGGTTACAGAGTTGAGACGAGTGATAAAACGACATTTCCCTGCACCATTTGTGGGATACAATTTCAGACGTTTCAGAATTTGTGTATGCACGAGCGTACCTATTCCAAACCTGCCAATAAATCGTGCAGCGATTGCGGTACCCTATTTCCCTCCAAAAGATTGTTACAACTTCATTCGCTCGCGACCCATTCGCCTTCTTGCGCGGAAAATTATCAATTCTTTTGCAAGTTTTGCAATCAAGGTTTCGTTAAAAAAACGAACATTCGGATTCACGAGCGACACTTCCACATGGACCAGGTTCCCAAACCCGTTCGAGTCAACGAGTCCATTTGGAATTCGTATCCGATGTGTACCACGTGTAATTTGTTATTCGAATCGTACGAGCGATTTATCGAGCATAATATGTATTACTATAATGACCAAATGTTTGTGTGCACCGTATGTGGTAAATCGTTTCAGGGAATGTACAAGCTTCACCATCATAACAAGGTGGAACATTATCCGAACGACGTATTGAAATTGTACGCTTACAAATGTGACATTTGTAGCGAAGGTTTCAATTATGAGTCGCATTTTCACGCGCACAAGTTGCATGTTCATCTACCCGATGCGCCGATTATACAGAAAACATTAAATATCATGCAAGACCACAGTTACGCTTTGACGAATAACGTTGGCATAAGGACCAAAGTAACGGAAGAACCGATAATATTGTCAGCAAAGACGTATACTTGCAGTGTTTGCAAATTAAATTTCACCAACGAAGAAGATTTGTCGATGCACAAGATAGAATACTCCACGAACGGTAAATTTCAATGTAGCAAGTGCAATCGAAAATGTGGTACCAGTTCTTTCCTAGCCAAGCACGATAGTTTGAATCATACCGGTTGTGACATTAACATCAGTTTCAAGTGTCGCTTTTGTGGTGAGGTGTTGACAACCAGTACAGCGATGTTGTGCCACGAAAAGCACTTTCATTTAAATTGCAGCAGTGATCTCAACGACAGACAACCAGTTCAACAAGTTATGAATAAGAAGATTGATAGCAAAATTGTTAAACTTGAAAAGTGCGATGGTTTTACGTGTTCGACTTGTAACATGAAGTTTCACAACAACATCAACTTGAAGCAACATTTGTTGGAATATGCCGATATAGGTACATTCATTTGCAACATTTGCCAAAGAAAATTCACCGAAGTGGAACAGTTAGAAGTGCACAAAATCAAACACACTATGTTGAGCAATACTTTGCTGTCGCAACGGTGTCCTATATGCAACGAAGGATTTTCGGATCCTGTGAATGTTCGGTCGCACGTAATGCACTTACATCGATACGAAACGTTCAATTTTAATATGGAGCATATAGGGACTAAATGACGAATTAGAAAGAGGGCGACACTGCGTTGTACATGCTAGCTTAGGATCTAAATCTAAAAGTTCCAATTGACGATTGAATTCAAATGGATCGTTTCACTTCTTCCTTCATTCCTTACGCTTGAAACGTGGCAAAGCCTAGTTTTAAATGATATGGAAATGTATAAATTCATTATTTAATATTGAAATCGAAATATATTGCTCGTGTTCGCGGAATCGATAGTATCAGATTTACTTTTCATAGAACATATGATGATGAATCAATTCTGTCATATCATCGAGAACAGATTTCGCATATGAGTGATAAAAAAGTGAACAAAGTGAAGGAATTCAAAATATAATATAATGTATTGTTTGTTGGTTATACACTTAAAGATTGTTACGAATTTAAAATGATTTTAATAATTTTCGAGTAATTATGATTTTGTTATGATATTGCATGTATATAAATTTTAAAGTAAAACTTTTGACAGTTTACTTTTTTATAGTGGACATTGCATTGAAAGTGAAATTTATTTTCGGATATTGAATCTCAATTGCGGATTCCACTATTGAAAACACTCTTAAGAGTTTTACTCTCAAATGTTAATACTTTCAGATATCCGGTATTCAATCAGATGAAAAGTATTACTTATAACAAAAAGAATGCATGTAGGCGTTTTGTTTTAAAAATATTATGTTATTTACTAAATTGATACTAAGTTATTCTATGTAGCTCTGAAGTTATAAATCTATGTTAGCCAAAAAATTTAAATTTATATATGAATATAATCAATTGTATAAGAAAAGTCTTAATAAGAATAGAATGTAAGCTGAATATAAAATATTGTTTCTTTAATATATTTATATCAATATTATTTTTAATTTTCCTTATATTAATAGTAATTTTATTTTTAATTCGTTAGTTATTTGTATTGTAAATATGATAATGGCAAATGTAGGAATTATATGCGTCAATTAAATGGATAGTTATTTGGTTCTACGTTTCAATTAAAAGTTTTGTAGATAACATTTATATTTTGATGTATACTATATATTATACTAATTTTATTTTTAATATTTTATTTTTAATATTTTCAATATCATTTGAAATCGTATTGTTATAATAGTGGATCTATTACTCGTATCGAAATTTATTATTACAAAATAAAAGACAAAATTACTGAAATTGAATAATTTTCAAAAAAATTTATTAAGAAAATAATTAATAATATCTTTCTGCATTTTTATTCAATAATTTTCTTATAATTAATTCAATCAAACAATGCTAAATTAAGATATTATTCTCTTTCTGAATAATACATATACAGAATATTTCAGTTTTTTTTCCCAAAATTTGACATATGTTTTATAAGTTAAAATAACTCTTGTGTGATGAAATAAATCAAAATTAAAATGAACTTCAAAGAATTTCGGATTGAATCTTCTACTGTTATCAAATTTGTATTGACAAGAAGTAATGAACATTTTGAAAAGTTGTAATTAGAGTTATAAAAGTATATAACATTTTTTAACAATTACATGTAAATATTATTGATTTAATCAACTTTATAGATAATAGATTTATTTATATATATAGTAATGCACATTATTTATCGTTCATTTTATTTTTAACTTTTTTGTTATAGCTCTTTAATCATGCTTCTAATGATATATATTTATATGACATTTTTTTCTTATTTTGATTTATAAAATATATCGTTAAAATTTGGTTAGAAAAACATGTATACATATCTCGTTTAAATTTCTATACTTTTGTATTTTATACTATATTATTCTATATCAAGTTGAAATTAGTATTTCAAAATCATGAGACTAACAAATCCATGATAATACTATTATATTTCATTAATTATAATTGATTTTATATATTGCAAAAATTTTTTTATGATGATCATTAAATTTCATCTCATTAGACTTTTACTGATCAATGAAAACAATTGTTAATTAATCTGATACCGTCCAAAAACAATATTCTTTTGTTTTTTAATTTTAATTTTAATTTTTAATCTTTTATAATAATTCAGGAAAAAGTTATAAGACTTATCAATCTACTAAAGATTCTATTATTATATAATCTACTATTATTATATAAGAAAGTATTAAAAATATTAATAGTATTAATATTTTATTCATCGAAATTCTGTAAATAATTCTAACATATAGGGAGGTTGTAATTATTGTATCAAACTGATCAAATATTAATTGCTAATAATAATATTATATACAATTTGCAAGATTAAAACAAAAAATTTCTCAATAAATTTGAAAGTTTTATTTTATTTATTCATTATCGTTTATCATCAATTTATTATTATCAAATTCATGCTTTTGTTTTGACAATTAGAATATACATAATTTTTTAATTTTTCAACTTCATTATATTGAATTCACTCATATATTCTTAATTATATATGCAATTTTATTTCAAACCGTGTTAAAATAATACTTTTCTATTAAAATTTATCATACAAATTTTAATATTGCATTTAATTTATTACATAAATTTTAAGTTAATAGTGATGCAGAGTTGCAAAGAAAGCTAATGATTGATTAATTAATTGATTTCGATACATTCGAGAGATATATATATCGTAAGATATATATCGTATATATTTTATGTCATGTCTATAAATAACGTCAGAGTATACTCTCCTTATGCTTTTGCTATCCTGATACTCTTCTTTCCAACTCTGCACAAAATTTTTTGTAAGTAAAAAGTGTAACATAGTAGTACTTATATCCTGATCAAAACTGACCAACTTGCAAAGAAAGATCTATATTAAGAATTTTGCCAATAAAATTATATTATTCGCATTTTTTGTTTATTAGATAGGTTATGTTTGATAACTTAATTTGCGAAAGTTATTCGAAAAAATAATAGAAATAAAATAATGCTCAATTTATATAAGGACAAATTTCGATCAGGATGCGGAGCACTATTATAGATCTTCCTATAAAAAGTAATTGCCGATGTTACTAGAGAACTAGGTAAGTACTAGTACAAGTATTTTTGTTATTAAATTAATAATAATATTTGTTATTTATTATTACTAAAAATATTTAGAATATTATGAAATATATTTACTATTAAATAAAATATTTTATATTTTATATTAAATAAATATTTAGTATTTTATATTTGCTAAAATACTTTTTACTATTAATTAATGAAATTAATAAGATAAAATATTATTAAAAATGTTGAATCTAAAAACTTGGCATATTGTTAATTTAATCTTATGTTTAATTTCCGTTTATTGTAAAAAATAACGATTGCATGAATATTTTCAGAAAAATTTATCAATGTAAAATTTTATAATAAAACGCTCCAAAACTAAAGATGTTGATTAATATTTCATCATCATATCAATATTTCAAAAACGAAAAATATCAACTAATATATTCTGTTAACATATATTAGTCACATTCAAAGACTTATAAGCTGAAGTAAAAAGTAAATTTTGCATAATACATCTGTTAATATTTATGGATTTTTATTAAGTGCAACAAATATTACTATATAATTATAATCATTTAATATAATCATAGATATATAATTATTTAAGAATGTATTATTTGTTATAAATTTTTAAAAGAAATTCTTAATGTGCAATATTACGAATTTACCTTGTTATACAATTTACATAAGTTATAATTGATTTAATAATTTTGTTTAGTGATTTTTCTTAATTTTGGCAATATCACTAGATTTTTTTAAAATTTTTTTAAACCTGTTATGTTTAAATATCTTTGAAGATATTAAAAAATATATTATTTCATTTTTTATTAAAATTGAAAAAAGACTTTATTATTAACTTTTATTGAATAAATAGATGAATATTATAAATATAATTGCATTAATTAACACACAACAAGAAAGAACAAAAGAAAAATAAAATAAAACTATATTACCATCTTGCTTTGTCTTCATTTCGTTTCATTTAATGTAAAATAAAAAATAAATTTTAATTGTTTATAATAAATAAGTTTTAAATAACATTTTTATATATCAACTTTTGGATTTGTTTTGATTTTTAAAATTGACCTTTCAGTAACGCCTTACAAATATTTCACATAAAAATATTACATAAATATATGCTTAAAAATCGATCGATAAGATTGAATGATTGCTGAGATGATTTAAAGCAATTTTTACTTTTTTCTTTGTTAACGAATTATTAAACACTGGTCAATCATAGAGCGCGCACTTGTCGTTCCAATGATAATATTGGATATGTGTCGTTAATGAGTTACTGAGTTTGACACGTTACAGTACTTTTCATTAATCAAGTCGAGACAAAAATTTTCGCAAAAGAAAAAAAAATATAGAAAACGCCTAAGGCTGACATCCAAAGTTCTGTTGGTTCAATGTTTGATTCTAGGGTATTTTGTATTAAATTAGATGCGTTTAATTTGAAAAATATGTTTCAATAAATAGATATATGTTTTCCATATGTCCTTTCATCTCAGTAACGAGAAATTAGATGTTAGAAATTTCAGTGAACACCCATCTCTAGTGAATAGTTTTGGCTGCACACCAAATTCTGTCGTAACCTATAAGTTTCAATTAAACTGAAAATATCTAAAGAACTCTGTGAATACTAGTATACCAATATTCTGGTTATACGTTCGAACCAATTCCAATATGAATACATTTCACTTCTGTTCTATGTAATACTCAAATATTGATCCTGTTTGAGGTTGTTCTTGTTATTTAAATGCTATTTAAACTGATATTTTGATTGATCATAGTTGTTTAGTTTAAACCTTTTTTTCATTTTTCAAAATATATATTTTTGAACTTTTTTTCGGATTTATCATTGAAAGAATAATATCAATCGAGTTTAAAAAATATTATATTTTTATTGACTTTTGCAAAATGATAGTAATTTATTGAAACCTAATCTAAGTTATTGAAAACTAATATAAACCTAACCTAAATTTAATTTAACCTTTTTTTAATTTTGTGGATTAAATGAATTGAAGAGAAAAAATATTATATTCTTATATAATATTTTTATGAAATAGTAGGAAAATTTACACTTTCATAGTAAAATAATAAAAAATATATTAGTTTTTTGAGCTTTTCCGATTAAAATATTCTTTTATAGTAATGAAATAAAGAAACATCTATAGTAATTTTTAAAATTAACAAAAGTCATTGAATATTTATCTAATTACGATTTCTTATTTTTGTCCTAGTGATGAAATAAATTTTTTAAAAAGGAAAAGAAGAGGAATTAATGTGAAATAATTAAAATTGAAAAAAGTTATTAAATTATACATTTATGATTGTTCAGAAAATTTTTCTTGTCTAATTGATATCGTAATCTAAATATTATATTTCTATAATTTTTACTTCATTTAAATTGAAATGTTATAAATTATAATTAAATTTATACATTATGGCGAATAAATTTATTATTTAATTAAATATAAAATTTTGAAAATATATAAAATGTGAAATATTCGCAAATATTGCATAAAAAGATTAATTTCGATTATTAGTGAACATAAAGATTATTCGATAAATTTCATGTAATGTGAATGATTTTAGATTTAAATTTTAATTTTCATTAAAAATTGGTTTATTTATTCATTCCTTTGATTAATAATATTGATAATTATATGGAATTGATAATATTTTATACAATTAAATAAATTATTATTCCAATTTTTATCACAATATGAACATACGTAGATACA